GTGGGGCCAGGGCCACGATCCTCAAGAGGAGTGTACCGAAATGAAGCTTCGGTGGAGCTCCCTGTGGGGCCAGGGCCACGATCCTCGATAGGGGTGTGCCGAAAGAAAGCTTCGGTGGAGCTCCTTGTAGGGCCAGGGCCACGATCCTCGAGAGGGGTGTGTCGAAATCAAGCTTCGTTGGGGCTCCCTGTGGGGCCAGGGCCACGATCCTCGAGAGGGATGTGCCGAAGTGAAGCTTCGGTGGGGTTCCCTGCGAAGCCAGGGCCGCGATCCTCGAGAGGGGTGTGCCGAAATGAAGCTCCGGTGGAGCGCCCTGTGGAGCCAAAGCAGCAATCCCGTGGGGAGGTCCACCGAAATGAAGCTTCGGTGGGCCTTCCTAAAGGATTGTTGATGGTTGCTGGTTGCTGGGGGGGGGCACGGGGCCCCAACCCCCGTTCATTCCAACAACAACAACAACAACAACAACAACAACAACAACAACGACGACAACGACAACGACAACGACAACGACAACGACAACGACAGCGACAACAACAACAACAACAACAACAACAACAACAACAACAACAACAACAACAACAACAACAACAACGCAAGGACACTCTCTCAGGCCACCCCGGCGGGGCCCGTGGGTGTGTCCTCGCCCCCGGGGCGAGCGCACTGCCCCAGGCCACACGTTGCAGTTGTTGCCCCGGGGGGGGGGGGGAGCAACGCGCAACACCTCTGTCATACGCTAACGAAGATCTATATGTGTTTCCGAATCTCCGTTGGCTCCCTTACTGTTCCCCACGCACTCCTGTGGCCGAAAACCGACCACGCGCCAGCGAGGCCAGCTCCTCCTCCTCATAGGACTCCTATGGAATCGCGCAGGGCCCTGTAAGGATCCTATGGGATCCCCATCGGATTCCTATGGAATCGTGCCGGACCCTGTAAGGATCCTATAGGATCCCTCTAGGGTTCCTATGGAATCGTGCAGGGCCGTGTAAGGGTCCTATAAGATCCCTCCAGGGTTCCTATGGAATCGTGCAGGACCCTGTAAGGATCCTATGGGATCCCTCTAGGGTTCCTATAGAATCGTGCAGGGCCCTGTAAGGATCCTATGGGATCCCTATAGGGTTCCGATGGAATCGTGCAGGACCCTGTAAGGATCCTACAGGATCCCTCAACGGTTCCTATGGAATCGTGCAAGACCCTGTAAGGATCCTATAGGATCCCTCTAGGGTTCCTATGGAATCGTGCAAGACCCTGTAAGGATCCTATGGGATCCCTCTAAGGTTCCTATGGAATCGCGCAGGACCCTGTAAGGATCCTATAGGTTCCTCCTCTATAGGACTCCTATGGAATCGTGCAGGACCCTGTAAGGTTCCTATCGGACTCCTCTAGGGGTCCTATGGAATCGTGCAGGACCCTGTAAGGATCCTATGGGATCCCTATAGGATTCCTATGCAGCCGTGCAGGACCCTGTAAGGATCCTATAGGATCCCTATAGGTTTCCTATGGAATCGTGCAGGCCCCTGTAAGGATCCTATAGGATTCCTAGAGGGTTCCGATGGAATCCTGCAGGGCCCTGTGAGGATCCTATAGGACCCTTATGAAGGTTCCGATGGAATCCTGTAGGACCCTGTAAGGATCCGATGGGATCCCTATAAGGTTCCTATAGAATCGTGCAGGACCCTGTAAGGATCCTATAGGATCCCTCCAGGGTTCCTATGGAATCGTGCAGGACCCTGTAAGGATCCTAGAGGACCCCATATAGGCTTCCCATAGAATCGTGCAGGACCGGCCCTGTAAGGATCCTATATGATCCCTATAAGGTTCCGATGGGAACCTGTTGGGCCCTGTCAGGATCCTAGAGGATCCCTCTAGGGTTCGGATGGAATCGTGCAGGACCCTGTAAGGATCCTATGGGATCCCTCTAGGGTTCCTATGGAAACGTGCAGGACTCTGTAAGGATCCTATGGGATCCCTCGGAGGTTCCGATGGAATCGTGCAAGACCCTGTAAGGATCCTATAGGTTCCTCCTTATAGTACTCCGATGGAATCATGCAGGACCCTGTAAGGATCCTATAGGTTCCTCCTCTATAGGACTCCTATGGAATCGTGCAGGGCCCTGCACGGACCCTATAGGATCCCTCTAGGATTCCTATGGAACCGTGCAGGACCCTGTAAGGATCCTATGGGATCCCTCTAGGGTTCCTATAGAATCGTGCAGGACCCTGTAAGGATCCTATAGGATTCCTATAGAGTTCCGATGGAATCCTGCAGGGCCCTGTGAGGATCCTATCGGATCCCTATAGGGTTCCGATGGAATCCTGTAGGACCCTGTGAGGATCCTATAAGACCCCTATAGGATTCTTATAAAATCGTGCAGGACCCTGTACGGATCCTATGGGATCCCTATAGGGTTCTTATGGGATCGTGCAGGACCCTGTTAAGGATCCTATAGGATCCCTCTAGGGTTCCTATGGAAACCTGTTGGACCCTGTAAGGATCCTATAGGATCCCTCCAGGGTTCCTGTGGAATCGCGCAGGACCCTGTAAGGATCCTATAAGATCCCTCTAGGGTTCCGATGGAGTCGTGCAGGACCCTGTAAGGATCCTATAGGATCCCTATAGGATTCCGATGGAACCGTGCAGGACTCTGTAAGGATCCTATGTGATCCCTATAGGGTGTTCCTATGGAATCGTGCAGGACCCTGTAAGGATCCGATAGGTTCCTCCTTATAGGACTCCCATGGAATCGTGCAGGACCGTGTAAGGATCCTACAGGTTCCCCCTTATAGGACTCCGATGGAGTCGTGCAGGACCCTGTAAGGATCCTATAGGATCCCTATAGGATTCCGATGGAACCGTGCAGGACCCTGTAAGGATCCTATAGGCTCCCTCTACGGTTCCGATGGAATCGTGCAGGACCCTGCAGAGGGGTGTGCCAAAATGATCCTCGAGAGGGGTGTGCCATAATGAAGCCTCTGAGGAGCTCTCTGTGGAGCCAAGGCCACGATCCTTGAGAGGGGTGTGCCGAAATAAAGCCTCGGTGGAGCTCCCTGTGGGGCCAGGGCCACGATCCGTGAAAGGGGCGCGCCGAAATCAAACTTCGGTGGAGCTCCCTGTGGGGCCAGGGCCACGATCCTCGAGAGGGGTGTGCCGAAATGGAGCCTCGGTGGAGCCCCCTGTGGGGCCAGGGCCACGATCCGTGAGAGGGGTGCGCCGAAACCAAGCTTCGGTGGAGCTCACTGAGCCACGATCCTCGAGAGAGGTGTGCCCAAATCAAACCTCGGTGGAGCTCCCTGTGGGGCCAGGGCCACGATCCGTGAGAGGGGTGCGCCCTTTGGGGCCTGTATGGGGCTCCGCAGCAGTCCCGAAAGGACCTGCCGAGCAACGCCGCCGGGCCCTGCAGACCCCCGCAGCGGCCTGGCGAGGCCTCGTGGCGTTGCTCGGACCAGGGGCCCTGCAGGGCCCGTGCGTGGCCCCGTGGTGTTGCTCGGGGGGGGGGGGTCGAGCAACGGGCCTCCAGTAGTGTCCTCGCGAACAACAACAACAACAACAACAACAACAACAACAACAACAACAACAACAACAACAACAACAACAACAACAACAACAACAACAACAACAACAACTGCAGCAGCAGCAGCAACAATAACCACCACCACCACCACAACAACAAATACAACAACAACGACAACCATAATAACAGCAATCACAACAACAATAACAACATCAACAACAACAACAACAACAACAACAACAACAAGAACAACAACAACAACACTAACAACAACGACGACAACAACAACAACAACAACAACAACAACAACAACAACAACAGCAACAGCAGCAATAACAACAGCAGCAGCAGCAGCAACCACAACAACAAGGCGGATATAGGGTGTCCAACAGCAATAATCTACAGGGACTGGGACCTCAGGCCGTCTGGGAGTCTCAACGACGAAGACGACGACGACGACGACAAGAGGAGCAGGAGGAAGAGGAGGAGGACGACGAGGAGGATGAGGAGGAGCAAAGGGAGCGGGTAGGAAACGAGGAGGAGGAGGAGGAGGAGAGGAGGAGGGGGAGAAGGAGGAGGAGGGGAGGAGGAGGAGGACAAGGAGGGGGGAGGAGGAGAGGAGAGGAGGAGAGAGGAGAGGAGGAGGGAGAGAGGAGGGAGGACGAGGAGGAGGAGGAGGAGGAGGAGGAGGAGGAGTGGGAAAGGGAGCGGGGAGGAGACGACGACGACGACGACGACGACGACGACGACGACGACGACGACGACGACGACGACGACGACGACGACCGCCGCGGGTTCCCGCGCGCCGATGCGTCAGCGCCAGGGCCCTCCAGCGGGGAACCACCGCGGAGCTCCCTGTGAGCGCCGAAGCGCCCGAGCGTGAGCCGCAGGGCATCTGGGAATCTGGCTTAAAAGCGGAGGAAGTAACGAGCGGAAGCGTCGAGAAGTAGCAGCGGCCCTGGTGTCCCCGTTTGGGCCTTAGGGGGGGGACTCCCCCAAATGTTTGACAACGCGGGGAGTGTAGGACTCCACTGCGCACACCGATCCGATGTTGTGAAAGCTCAGCTCTGACAGAGATCGCACGGTGACTGACCGACCTCCTCCTCTTCCTCCTCCTACTACTCCTCCTCCTCCTCCTGGTGCCTCCACTGCCAACCATTTGTAGTCTGTGGCACGGTTGGGTGGCACTGCCAGTGCCAAGCCATGTGCCGCTGCGGGAGTGGGAGGCAGGAGAACGGTGCTGAATGAATCTGAACGGGGGATGAACCTGGAATGAGGCCACAGGGGGGGAAAAGGGGGAAGGGGGGAGATGGAGAAAAAGTTGAAAAGCTTATACTTCAGATGAAAGTGGAAAAGAAAGCGGATGCAAAACAACGTGTTCGGAGTGGACAGGGGGAAAGGGGAAGGAGATATGCGACGCAGAGGTGGACAGGGGATGCAAGGTACACGGTACAGCCACGGGGTATCCCGCAAAGCAGATGGCCGTCGGTGCCTCGTGCTTGTCCCACGCCTGCGCAAGCGGGGGCAGGTGAAAGGTCCTACGGTCGGAGCGAGTTCCAGAAGACATTCGAGAGAACACTAGACTATGGAGAAGGACATTGGACCCTGGAGGAAAGACACGTACGTCTGACGCTGGTTGATCCTACTGCGGTCGCACACAAAAGTTATCGGACAACTTTCCCGCTGCTTCAACCAGCCGACCACTGCTTAGCACGGGGAAACGTGTCCTGAGAGAAACGGGTCCTGGACCCCAGGGCCTTCCCCCAGGACGAGATCTTCATCCTGAGTCGTTTTCTGACGGTCCCAGGGCCCGTGGAGGGCCCCGAGATCCCGAAAACGGCAAAAGACCTCAGGACCCGTTTCCCTCAGGACCCGTTTCCCCCACGGCGAACTTCCCCGCCGCGCCCTTCTCCTCCCCCCGCCTCTTCCTCCCCCCTCCTTCTCTCAATATCTCTCCCTCTTTCTCTGTCCCCACCCGCGCTCCTCCTCCCCAGACTCCCCCAACGTCGTGATCCCTTCACAGCGGGAACCCCCCGGGCGTCTCGACCAATGCCCTGGGACCGGCTCGTCATCCCGAGCCGTTTTGTGGACGGCCCCGGAGCCCAGCGAGGGTCCCTGGAGAGCGATACTGGCAGACAGAGCCCTCTGCGCCAGGGGGCCTGGATCCCTCCCGTCTCCCTCCTCGCTCCTCCTGGGGAGAGCTCTCCTCGGCCGAACACGGCCAGCAGCGCAGCGGGGGCCCCCCCCACGGCAGCGAGTGACAGGCCGAGCAGGTCAGTTCAGACGCTGCGCTCCGCGCTCTCCTCCTTCCCACCTCCTGTCATCCCTCTCTTCCTCCTCCTCCTCCTCCTCCTCCTCCTCCTCCTCCGCCTCCTCCTCCTCCTCCTCCTCCTCTTCCTCCTCCTCCTCCTCCTCCTCCTCTTCCCCCTCCTCCTCCTCCTGCTCCTCCTCCTCCTCCTCCTTCACCCTCCTCCTCCTCCTCCTCCTCATCCTCCTCCTCCAATTCATAGTCCTCTAGCCGAAACGCGCCTTGTGCACGTTGAGGCGTTGAAAAGTGCCAAGGGCTGTCCAGTAGGATTTCTGTATTCCATTAAGTGGCCCACCCCCCACCCATACTCGCGTCTCGATGAATTCATCACCCCTCCTCCCGAGGCAACGATCCCTCGCAAAAAAATATGGGTTCGCGCTCACACGGCCACGATCCCACGTAAAAACCGATTGATCCGCGCCCCGAGCTTCCAAAACGGCCCGTGCAGGCAACCAAGGACACCACGATGGCCCAAGATGCCTCGAAGACGGCCCAAGATGGCCCCAGGGCGGCGCAATATGGCCTCAAGACGGCCCAAGAAGCCTCCGAGAAGGCCCCGAAGGTCCACAAGAGGACCTCCAACAGGATCCGACGAAGCCATCATCCTTGATTTCCCTTGGGTGTTTGAATGGTTTTCGCGTTCTCGCCTTCGGCCCAAGAAACCTCCAAGATGCCAAGAGGGTCCCAAGATGGCCCAAGAGGTCCCACGATGGCCTAAGAGGCACCCAAGACGGCCCCAAAACGGCCCAAGAGAGCCTCCCGTGGGACCCAAGACGGCTTTGGAAGGCCTTCCGATGGCCCAAGGTGGCCCCACGGCAGTCCCCAGACACCCAGCATACGGCCAAGAGGGCCCCAAGACGGCCCAAGAAAGCCCCAAGACGGCGCAAGAGGGCCCCAAGACAGCCCAAGAAGGCCCCAAGGAATCCCCGAAACTAACTCACAGGAGGCCAAGACAGCGTCGAGGCAGCCCAAACAAGTTCAATGACAGCTCCTCAAATCATGAACACGAACAATGTCACATGTGACGGCCGTCCCCTTCCTCCTCCTTCTCCTCCTCCTCCTCCTCCTCCTCCTCCTCCTCCTCCATCATCATCATCATCATCATCATCATCCATCTACTCCTCCTACTCCTCCTCCTCCTCCTCCTCCTCCTCCTCCTCCTCCTCCTCCTCCTTCACCTCGGAGGCGCTCGGTTGCCTTCACCGCTCCATGCGCCAGGACCCCATCCCTGCCCAGGAGCTCTGGGATAACCACTCCCTTGTGTACCACCCCAAGGATATTGTGGATTTCAAGGCTCGCAAGTGGCATCAGTTGTGGGCCCCCCCTGTCAATACTCCCGAGGCCTTGTTCGACGGGGTCCTGGGGGTCATCCGCGAGGCCATTCGAGATTCGGAGGCCCTTCCTGAGCTCCAGGTTCGCGACCTTCGGCAGGCCCTCAGAGGAATGCGGCCCTCGACGGGGCTGGGCGTGGACAAGCTCACGCCGTGCGACCTCGAGAGGCTCCCCGACGTCGGCTTGCAAGAGCTCGCCAACATTATGAATACTATCGAACAGCTTGGAGTTTGGCCGATCCAGACTATGGTGGTTATTGGGAAACTTCTCCCCAAAATGCTGTCTGGGGATCGGGTCATCGGGCTGGTTTCTACGATTGGGAGAGTCTGGAGTAAAGCTAGAGAACCGTGGGTGAAATCCTGGACTGAGGCCACCGCTCCGAGCTGGGACGCCGCTGCTCGGGGAAACTCAGCCCTACAAGAGGCGTTTCGGCGCGTGCTTGACGAGGAAGTGTGTTCAGCTCTAGCCATTCCATATAGTCACAGTTTGGTCGACATCAGCCCATTCTATGACACCATGTACTGGCTCAAACTGGCGCGAGCAGCTATTAGCTTGGAATTTCCACCTACTGTACTACTTCTCGAACTCTCTCAGTGTGCGGCACCACGCACGCTCAGCCAGCTGAATGCGTTCTCGCAGCCTTTCGAGCCCACCCAGAGCATTGTCCAAGGGCTCAGATCGGGGACAAGGCTGGCGAGGATCATGACTGACTACGTTACGCAGCGCATCAGCACAGCTCAGGTACGGTGCAGTCATCGTTTGTGGATCGACGACCTGTCGCAGGCCACTAAGGGCTCGCGAGAGGAAGTGCGATCGAACCTCATCAAATGTATTTCGGCTACGGCAGCAGGACTGAGGACTCAGAGGCTGTCTATTGCATCTAAGTCAGTGGCCATGTGCTCTCATCATGGCGACGCGAAGGCGGTGGTCAAGGCGCTGAGACTCCGTGGTGTACCCATATCTGCAGCCCGTCAGTCTTCATACCTAGGGGTGGGTTTGGGCGCAGGCCGTCGGCATGCACGAGAGCAACGATCGAAGCGGAACGCTAGGCATGTTCTTCGGAACAAAAAGGTGGTCCGCTACACTCGAGTTATTCGGAGAACCCGCCTGACTTCCAAGTTGGAGCGTCAAGGGGCCAAAGCTGCAGGTAGTTATGGGTATCAACTACATGGAGTGGCGGGATTTCATCTTACGGCATATCGGCGCAGACTAGGGACCGCATGTTGTGGCAAGACTCGGGGGCGGTGCTTGACCACACTCCTGGCAATTGAAGCTCCCAACCTCGACCCAGCGGAGAAGTTCGCAGCATGTACATTTGAGTCATGGTTGCAGCAGTGGAGGGATGAGCCCCAACTTCGAGCCGCCGTTCTTCGTGCATGGCCCAAGGTTAGGGCCAAGATGGAGAGTATCCCAGAGGCTTCTCGCAGTCGGCATATACGAGGGCCGATGTCGGCCATCATTTCTTACATGCTGGGGTTCGGATGGACCCCGAGGACCCTCACGTCATGGGAGCCGCCTGGAGATTTCAAATGGGAGTTCCCAGATGAGAACTTCACTGGCATTCCAGCGCTGGATAGTTTCAAAGAGTTCATCGACGAGGCGAAGGTCGCTGCGATGGTTCCGTTCTGGCAACAGGCCGAGCTACACCACGACGGAGACGGCCTGGGGCAAGGTGTTGATACGTATTCTCTCCGACGACTACTCCAGCAGCTCCGAGGAGTGCGACCTGGGGGACCGCGCCTTGCAGGCCTGCTCTTGAACATCGCGATTGGTGCTGCCTGGCTTAAGGCTAGGAAGGTGGGTCAGCTGAAGTCCCCAGGGCGCGCGTGCCCAGTGTCGTCTGATGCTGGCCACTCGGGCGCTGCTTCAGGTGAGCCTACGAGCCACGATGTTCATCAGCAGCTGACGGCATCAGGAGTTCGACCAGTGGCCACTAATATGAGCGGCAACCACGACCCGTTCGAGGACATCGAGCTGAGCGTCGGCGAGAGTCAGTCCTATCAGAGTGGGTCTTCGAGTGCACCACGACGGAGTGCACAGCAGGACATTCATTTCAATGTGAACTGCGACCGTTGCGGGGAAGGTCCTGAGACTTCCCATCACAGGTACTGGAGTTGTTCTCATAACAGAGGTGCATTTGCGTATATCAATAGCGAATGTATTGGGGGGCAGGCCAGAACACAGCACGAGATGCACGCTTGTTTCTGGCACAGAGGTCTTATACCAGCCGCTTGGACCAGGACCCCTGAGCCCCCACAGGAGCATTCTTGGACATGTGGTGGTCTGAACGACGGTGTGTTTGAAGGATGCCTGCCCATGGGCACTGAGTCCGACCCCACAGTCATTTTCGGAGATGCAAGTGGTGGCCCAGATACTGCAGACAGCAGATTACGGCGAGTCGCGCTAGGGATCGCCACTGTTGCCAACTACGTCGACCCGCAGGTTGAGTGCTTCATCACTGGACCGTTGACAGGACCTCGACAAGTGGCTGGTCGGGGTGAACTTCGTGGGCTGTGGCTAGCCATCTGGGTCAGTCAAGGGCCCATTGTGTATGTGACGGATTGTGAGAATGTATGCAAGGGCTGGGTGTCCAAGGCCTATCTACACCACAAAGGTAATGACGGAGACGAATGGGCCCGCCTCGGGCAACTACTTGTGCATCGGTCGCCTGACTTAGTACAGGTCAAGTTCGTGAACTCACACCTCACTGCCGAGGATATCATGAACCATCGTGCAGAATCGTGGCTAGTGGTTGGGAATACTATCATCGACGAGCTGGTGAAGAATGCAGCCATGGCTGCACGACTTCCAGTGGCAGTACGACACGAACTGCTACAAGTTGAACGACGAGCACACCTTGTACGGCATAG